AATTCTTCTGTGAGCTCAAAATGTTTGGTGATACCTTGAATAAAAATTATCAACTGGGCTGTGTCTTTGACATCACAACATGCAAAATTGCTTACTTTATTTTTTAACTGCAGATACAGGTTCTCAGAGATATCCTCAACACGTCTCACAATAGTTTGCCTTGACAAGCTAACTTTCTCGAACTGTTTTTTCTTGTCTGGGCATAAAATCGAGGCGGAGTCAACCATACATTCCTTTATAAATTCTCCTTCAGAGAATGGTTTGCTGTTCTTGGCGATTTTGTATGCAATCACGTAAACTCACTCTTGTAATCTATTCCTGGGACGCACATTGTTTTGTGAAAACGCTTTGCCCTTTTTGCATTCGAACAACCATCTCATCAGCTTTCTTTCCTTTTTCTTCGGCAGAAATGTTCTTATATTTGCAAACAAGTTTGCTCTCAAAATGGCGATTCAAGTTGTAGTCTTTGAGCACTGCCACACCTTCTTTGCAAATTAAGCACACAGCTTTTCCACCACACTGGCAAAAAAATAATTAAAGTTCATTCTTTGTTGAATATTCAACCTTAGTATTGATGTTCTGTGGCAGTAAGGCTCATGCTCATGCCGTGGCCTACACTGTAAATCAGCTGCGGTTACTGTGCGCGAGTTTGAAAATTTGCCGATCCGTAAATTTCTGACATCAGCCGGATTCAACACTTAAGGGAGTGTGCGCACAACTAAGCAGAGTGACTGGCTGATGTTCCCAGTCTGATTGAAATGCAAAATTTGTGGAGAAAAAAACTAACGACATTAGCAATTAAAAATCGATGCTGTGACAAAAGTAAGAAACGTAAGGGATGCATTTAAAACTGATTCTTTCTGGGACTGAACAAACTATAATTTTTTCTATTGCTAGACACAATGACGGGCTGGATAGAATCATTTGGCGGGCCGGATAAGGCCAGCGGACCGTATTTTGCCCACCCCTGGTCTAAGCTGACACTCCAATGCAGTGCTGGGTGTGTGTTGCCTTGTTAGAGGTGCCTTGCTTCAGATGAGGCGTTAAACCAAAGTTCCATCTGCCTGTTCAGGTAAATATTAAAAGATCCTATAGCACTGTTCGAAAAGAGAAGGAAGCATCTCCCATCGTCTTGGCCAACAATTCCTTAAACAAAATTGGTCACTCACTTCATGGTTGTTTGTTGGACATTGCTGTGTTCAATTTTGCTGTTTGCTCTACAAATACTCCATTTCAACAATAAAGCCTGTGAAGCACTTTGAACATGGTAAGGAAAGGTTATTAGGGCCAAAGAAATTAGCTTTGAAAATATGTTCTGGAAATTACAAAGCCTGGCCAGCTCCTTCAGGACGTCAGTCTGAATCAGATCCCCAAGTAGTGCTTGAAGTGTTAACACCTCAAGTTTTAAAAAACAGATGGGAGAATACTTCTGAAATCTGCCTTACCTTTTCAAGTGACATCCTCCAGAATAATGCGGCAGTCACAAACAGTTTGAGCACCAACGAGAATAGATTCAGCTAAATCAAGACTGCAGGACTTGCTGTTTTTGAGGGCATTGAGGACAGCAGGGTGATGGAGCAGAATCTGCCTCTCTCTCACTTTTTCTTTTCTCCTTTCCTATCAACTGACAGCCAGCTGCACATTTCAGTCATCTTATTACTTGAAAAACCCAGGCTTCTTTTCCAGCATATCCAGCCATAGCCACAAGTCAAGAGCTGGAGCGTTCCATTTCAAAGACAGGGGTAGCACTGACAACATGCAGAACACTCCATTTACTTGCTTGCAGCAGCTTTCAAATACACACAAAAGCAGCAAAACACAGTTTTCATATACAATGCTCTTCAGAGAATTTCCTTTGCTGTAGTTTGATCTCAAAGCTTCCAAGACAAACTTGAAGAAAAACTGAACCCAGCTCTCAGCCTCCAATAAAAGGAAAAGATTATTCCCTCTGATTTGTAAATTGGCAATAAAGGGAAGAAAGAAGCTTGGCAACTGCAACAAATCAGTGATTAAGAACACTGAGTGCGCAACATAAAAGCAGCCATCTCTAATTGTTCAGCAGTAGTTTATATCAGAATAATTCTCCCTTTTTCCACCCCAAGTGAGAAAGGTAGAGTCCTGTAGCATAGTGGTGAGTGCACTCATCTCGTAAGCGAGAGGACCCAGGTTCGATTCCCTGGCAGGGCAAAAACTTAGGCAAGTTTCCTTACTCCATACCCCGCTGTTTACCTAGCAGTAAGTGGGAATCCGGTTGTTAATTGATTGGTGGATCACTTTACAGAGATAATCCTCCCCACAAAATAATAATTTGATCAAGAATCCTCGACTGTTTGTGGAACACTGCTGTGCACAATAGTTAACGTGTTTCACACGTAATATACATTCAACTCACTTTACAGTATATTCTGTGAAGCTCTTGATTATTATTATTATTAAGATAATCATCTCACTGATTCTGTCACAATCTGCTATGCCCAAACTCATGACATGGAGATTGTTGTGTTTCCAGATGATTGTTTAAAGAATACCAGTTGCATTCTCCTGAAAACATAATAGAGATACAGGTTTGAAACCAGTCTGTCAATCTCTTTCAATAAAGGGCAGTCTTTCGCCTGGTTTTCAAGGATTGACACTAGATTTTGTAATTGTGTTGCTTCTTTCTCTCTCTCTCAGATATTAACAGTGCATTGAGCCCATCCATCTTTAATTTTAGTATCCAAATGGTTTCTGTTTTGAAGGTTTAGATACCAAAAATTCTCAATCAAATGAAATATTGACTGAAATATTAATATGAAATAATAATTCAAAGGAGACAAAACAAAACTGAAGTGACCAGCACCTATAAACAACTCTAATAATATAAATGCAATCTTGGTTTGTGTGATCATATGAAGGCTGCCAAGAAGAAGTTCTCAACTTGCTGAATAATAGATATTACTGTCAGCTTTGACCACTCGGAAGACCACCTTCAAAACTTCAAAACCAACTCTTACCCGGGGTTAAGGTTATGATATTACATAACATCTCTCCACAGCTATTAATATCAATTAAAATGCTCTCCCCCCCNTCCCTCTCTGCTGCCCTGGAGTCATCTGAATTCCTCACACTCTGGGCTTCCTCCTGCAATGACTTATCCTTCTTGGTCACTCTCCTCCAAACTCCCTCTCTGCCACTCTCGATGCCCTTGGCCCCCTTACCTCCCAAACTGCCTCCTACACACGCAAGATACCCTGGTACACCGGCCACCTCTGCTCCCTCAAGGCACAGGTATGTGCTACCGAACGCACCTGGCTCAAATCTAATTTAACGGTCCATCTGGCTGGATCACATCAAAACTTACCAACCCGTCCTCGCCTACGCCAATAGTCAACTTCAACTGTGCGGAGATGCTGGACTTCCTCGAGACCAAAATCAAGGGGATCTATTCAGCCGCCTCTGCTAGCCTCTCCCCATCTCCACCTCACACTCCGGCCCCTACCCATACCTCCCTCCTTCGAACCAGTCTTCTCCTCATCTCTCACCACCATCATAACCCATATGAAACCCACCATCTGCTCCCTACCCCTCTCCTTATCTACCAGCTCCACCTCTTTGCCCTTCTACTCACGGACGTCAACCTCTCCTTGTCTACTGGCACCGTTCCAACTCCATTAAAAACAGCCATCATCACCCTTTCCCTGGATCCATCTCTGCTCTCAAATTACCACCCCATCTCCAACCACATTTTCCTTTCCAAGCTCCCGGAACGGTCCATTGCTTCCCAGCTTTGTTCTTTCCTGTTCCGCCACTCTCTGTACGAACCCCTCCAATCAGGTTTCCGTGCTGCCCAAAGCACAGAAACAGCCTTGGTCAAAGTGACAAATAACATTTTGTCAATCTGTGAAGGGCTCCCTCTGTCTCCTCGTCCTCCATGACCTCTCTTCTGCATTTGATACAGTTGACCACTCTATCCTCCTCCACCACATCTCCTCTCACCTTAACCTTCATGGTTCTGTCCTTGACTGGTTCACACCATCTTCACTTTGTCTCCACAAACAGTTTCTCTTCCAGCTCCCACATGTCTTGTGCAGTGTTCCTCAGGGCTCTGTCCTTGATCCCTTCTCTTCAATATCTACATGTTCCCTTTTGGTAACATCATCCGCAGATGTAGGGTCAACTTCCATATGTATGCAGATGATACCCAACTCTTATCTCTCTGCCTCCACCCTCGTCCAGGACCACTGCTGTCCTAACAGAATATCTGTCAGATATCAAGTCCTGAATGAGAGCTAACTTTCTATAGCCGAATGTCAACAAGACCAAGGGCCTTCTGATTGGTTCCCGTCAGTGCCTCCACACCTCAGGCACTGGCAGCATCTCCTTCCACGGATGCAAATTCCACCTCACTGAGCCAGTCCGGAACCATGGTGTCTTGTTTAACCTCAACTGTCCTTTCTATCCCACATCCATGACATGACCCTTCTGCCTTTCCCCACCTCTGCAACATCACCCGGCTCTGCCATTGTCTTTCCCCTTAAGCCACTGAGATCCTCATTCGCACATTTATTACACCTAGGCTCGACTTCGCCAACTCCCTGCATGTCAGCCTTCCCAACTCTTCCCTCCACAAGCTGCAGATCATCCAGAACTCTGCAGCTTGTGTCTTCTCTCGCACCAGGCTCCGTGACCCCATCAACTCCACCCTCGCCCAGCTCCACTGATTTCCCATCCCCCAGAGGAGAGAGTTCAAAATCCTTATCCTCGCCTTCAAGGCCCGCCATTGCCTTGGTCCTTCCTACCATTGTGACCTGCTAATCCTATATCAACCTGTTCGCTTCCTCCGCTCAGCAGGCTCCAGCCTGTTCCATGTCCCCTTCTTATCCTTCAAGAATACCCACCTACCATCTTTCCATCATAACATCAAGCTGTTTTTTAAATGAGTCCAGCATCCTGGCACAACCACAGTTATTAATCAATCAGTGAACAAAGCTTTCATCTCTCTGCTTAACCTAAGTGATTACCTGTTTTTCCAGCTTCTGCTGTCGAAGGCTTGCATTTTCATCATCAAGGACACTGAAAGAGAAAGAGGCCTTATTACTTCAGAGTAACCCAAGCAACAGCAGATAAGCCACGCAGGCAATAACATTCATTCATTCCCCATTGGAGTATCTGTCTGGTTCACACTGGCTTTTGTTTGAGGGCTGGCACAGAAAATGCTGCTCCGCCTCTGCTCTCATCCTCCTGCAGGAACTGACAAACCTGCTATTCATTTTCAGTATTACAATGTCTGCCAACATTGCTGCGCTCAGATCACGAGATACCTCACTGCCTCAATCGCTGTCTCACTCCCTGCCCATGAGAGCAATCGCTTCTTGGCCTGAAAAGTCCTATGGATAACTGTTTACAAAGTTTTATAAATTCGCACAGATTTTTTCCGATACAGTACTGATTCATCATGAGCCCATATCAGGCATTTGCTGGCACGTGTCTCTTTTGAAAGGAACAAGTTCAAAACATTTCTTTTTTTAATTTTGAGGTAAGAAATCTGAAACGTTGACTCACCAAACCTTTTCAAAGAGTAAAGAAACCTGCTGCTTAAAAGTGATGGAAAATCCTGTTTACCAACACTGCACAAGCTGCCGTTAAAATAAAATGGGAAAACTGTGGTGTAAAGGTACAGGATACTGCTTGGGCATTTATTTTATTACCTGTACAAGATCCATCTGCTTGATTGTCTTGAAAACATAGGATAACAAAGAAAGGGAAAAAAAGTGGGAAAAACTTTGGGGAAGAAAACAATGACATCCGATACAGATATGGATGGCTCAGTAGAACGACAACTATATGGTGTCTCAAGCTATAAAATCTGAACCGCTGTAATTTCAGGAAGCCAGCACTTCCTGCTGTTGCTTCCTGTAGCAGCACACGATTAATGGTTGCACAGTGACACACAGGATGTTTTGTGAAATTAGTTGCACCCCCAAATATAAACAAAGCAAATGTGGAGAAGCATTGATCCAGGAGCCGAGACCTGTTTACTAAGAAGATCAAGGTCAAAAGCTTCCCAAACTAAAATACATAAATTATTTGAAATCTTGTCCCTCTGCAATACCGTCAGAGGAGACTCGTCTTCCAGCAAAGCGATTCTGTCCAGAGCAAGCTTCTTCAATCCTGTTGTTCGCACACATTTTAAGGACTTCGGAAACCATCCAAGCAGCCAACCTTGTTCAAATTGAGTTGTTAATAGGAATTGGTAAATGGCATCGGGATTAAAAGGTCTGCTAAAAACTGGTGGAATAGAATTAATGGGCTAAAAGGCTCTTCCTCTTTTCCAGTGTTTCTATGATATATGTTGGTCCAGCACTGACAATATTATAGCAATGTTACCTGATTTCTGTGGGCAGAAGAGGTTAACTGGAAAAGGCTGAAGATGTGTGGACAATGCAGTGAAATCGAGATGGTTTCTCTGTAGGGCTCCATTTTAAATATGTATGGTAATACTCATATCTATGGATTTAAATACAAAGTTAACATGACCCTCAGAATGCTTTCAGCTCCAAGGAAATGATGGCTTCAAGCCAAGTAGATATTAAATTGTGATATGCACGCACACACAAACCTCGCCCAAGCCGACATTACAATACAATTTTCATTTATGTAGCATCTTTCACATCAGGAAGACTCCTCAAAGCTCACTGAGCTGCTCACTGGGCACCCAAACTGGGGGGTGGGAGCTAAAGAGAGTAGGAAGTGGAAAGATGACCAAAAGAGTGGAATGCTTACTTCACACGGCCATCCTGTGGTGATAGCAATATCAACAATACAGAATGATTCACTGGTGCATAGCCAGTGGATGGCAGTGTAATAAGTCAGGAGAGCTTCACATTCCTTACAAACCATGCAGTTTATACATGCAACTATAATTTGTCTCCTGACCTCTCTGCAGCATTACAGTGCCACCCACTGGCTACTCACCAGTGGAGCCCTCAACCAACAACAATTTACTTTAAAATAGCCCCTAGATGTCTCAAAGCACTTCACACAGCTGAATGGGAGATGGAAGAAGGGAAGAGGTAGTAAAAATCATAATCTAAAAGATATAGGTCTAAGGGTTTTGAAGGTTGGGGGGCTAGGGAGGGAGGACGGAGGCAGGGAACAAGACAGAAGTCATCTGACTGTCAATTCCTTCCCTCATTATTAAATACTGTGGAAGCCGATTTAGCCAGACGGCGGGTAACCTCAGAAACCAGGTAAATTGGACAAAACGCCCAGTTCCGATTCATTTATATTCTTACCAGTTTTAAATCTGCAGAATAATTTGTATAACAATCTGCTTAATCTGGACAAGATACCGCGTTGGTCACTGCTGAATGTACTCACTCGCGCCTTCTGTGTCTTGAGCGGCTGATTCAGGTATTAGTGGCTCCAGGATGGAGATGGGAAGAATTAAATTGTGATTAATTGACAGTGAGGGAGGGAGCAGAGGAATGGGGAAGAAACAAGGGAGGTAATGGGTGGTGTCAAATCACGATTGATTGACAGTTGGAACCACTTGTGAATGGGTGGAGCGCCCATCTGATCACAAGCGGTTCCAAGGCTGTCAATCACCTCGGAGCTGCCGCTTGAACAGACATACCTGTTGGGGCCTGGGTTTTAACGGATTTATTTTGTCCATTTGACCTGTGATACTGACTCTAGAAAGAGTAGTTTTACTTCCTCCAAATGCTTTTATGAACATGTTACTTATTCAAACAAGCCATTCATTGTATGTTTCTTGCTCTACCAAAGTCAACAAAGCAGTGTTAGATCACTGAAAAAGTCCAACATATTAACACAAAGGGCTATCCCACATTTTATGCAAAGCATTTGTCAATGCATCCCTAGCAACATGGCGTACGATACTTTTCAAACTATTCCAAATACCAAAGATGAGATCAATTCACCGAAGCTCAACAAAGAAAAGAGCAATCAAGGTAACATTTTGTTTGGTCAGCGGGGTGTCTTGACATATGCGAAAACCCAACATTATGCTTAAGAGTATCTGAACTAAACTGAGTTTCATGTACGTATACCACTTAGACATACCCTGCTTACCTAATTCCAAGAATATTCAATGTAGGTTATACTAATACAAATATTAGGTTGGCAAAGAGCTGAGGCTTGGGACCCCCAGCATGTAGGTTGGGATCCTATGTGTCAGCCTGCCGCACTCTCTGAGTCAGAAGATCGTGGGTTCAAGCCCAAATGAAGACTTGGAATCATATAGTCTAAGATGACACTCCAATGCAGTGCTGGTGGTATGTTGCATTGTCGGAGGTGCCATCCTTCAGATGAAACATTAAACCAAGGTCCCAACTGCCTGATCAAGTGGATTTTAAAGATCCCACAGCAATATTTGAAAAGAGAAGGCAGTTTCTCCCGGTGTCCTGGCCAACATTCCTGCAAATAAAATTGATGGATGGTACAATTTGTATCTGGTAGTTTTAAACTTGGGGAACACCGAACCAAAAGATTAGCGGGTAACATAAAATATATATAAAATATATAAAGAATAAAAGGTTAGTCAAAGGTAGGGTGGGTCCAATTAAGGGTCAAAGAGGAAATCTTCTTGTGGAGGCGGAAGGCATGGCTGATGTACTGAATGAGTACTTTGCGTCTGTCTTCACAAAAGAGGAAGCAGCCAATGCCAAAGTATCGGAGGAGAGGGTAGAGAAATTGGATAAGAATAAACCAATAGGAAGTATTAAAAGGGTTGATGATGCGGATTAATATGACCCTCAGAATTCTTGTTAAAGGCAAATCGTGTCTAACAAACCTGATAAGAATTTTTTGATGAAGTAACGGAAACAGTGGATTAAGGTAGTGCAGTTGATGTAGTTTATATGGATTTTCAAAAGGCGTTTGAAAAGTGCCACATAAGAGACTTGCAAGCAAAATAGATGTCCAAGGTATTAAAGGGACAGTGGTGAACGGTTGTTTTTCTGACTGGAAGAAAGTGTGCAGTGGTGTCCCCCAGGGGTCAGTATTGGGACCACTGCTCTTTTTGATCTATATAAATGACTTGGGTATAGGGAGTACAATTTCCAAGTTTGCAGAAGTTTTCCTAAGCTAGGAAAAGTAGTAAACAGTGAGGAGGATAGTAGCAGACTGCAAATGGACATAGACAGACTGGTAAAATGGGCAGACACGTGGCAGATGAAGTTTAATGTGGAGAAATAAGAAGTGATGCATTTTGTGAGGAAGAATGAGGAGAGGCAACATAAGCTGATGGTACAAAAGGGGTGAAGGAACAGATGAGGTTCATATAAGTAAATCTTTGAAGGTGGCAGGACAGGGAGATAAAGCTGTTAAAAAAGCATACAGGATACTAAGCTTTATAAATAGGGGCATACAATACAAAAGTTAGGAAGTTATGATAAGCCTTTATAAAACATTGGTTAAGCCTCAGCTACTGTGTTCCGTTCTGAGCAAACACTTCAGGAAGGCATTGGGAGAAGTGAAAAAAGATTTACCAGGATGGTACCAGGAATGAGGGACTTCAGTTATCAGGAGAGGCTAGAGAAGCTAGGATTATTCTCCTTGGAGCAGAGAAGGTTAAGGGGAGAGACGTACAACAACAACAAAATTACATTTGTAAAGCGCCTTTCATATCAGGAGGACATCCCAGGGCCCTGAACGGTCAGGGATCAGGACCCGAGCGTGCAGGGGCAAGGTTGGAATGAGGGAGGGCAGTTGGGGTACGAGTGTGGCTGAAGGCAGTCAAAACAAAGGGTCTTGAGTCATGCCTTGAAGGAGGCAAGAGAGGGAGCAAGGAGAAGGGATTGTGGGATGGAGTTCCAAAGAGTGGGGGCAGAGAAGCTGAAAGCCCGGCCACCAATAGTACGATGGGTCGGGCAGGAGGGAGCGGACAGTTTGTTGGGAGTCAGCAGGTCAGAAATTTAGAAGGCAATGGTCGTGGAGGGCTTTGAAAGTGAGGACGAGGATTTAAATTCTATCCTCTGAGGGATGGGGAGCCAGCGGAGCCGGGCAAGGGTGGAGTTGATGGGGTCACGGAACAAGGTATAGGCGAGGAC